TATACACTTAAAAATGGCTAAAAAGTTAAATTTTATGTTACATGTATTTTACCATTAAGCAAACAAACGAGTTTGATTGACACCTAGGGAAAATTGAGATTATCTTGGGATAGAGAAACCTGCAGGTTGATGGGGAGGAAATAGGGTGTTTGTCAGTCAGGTATTCATAATTCAACAAGGGGCTACCATTGTTGGTGTTAATGGACTGTTTTGTTTCATTTTAATTATGTCTAGAATTGTTTCCAGAATAATATGGCTAAACATTGTTGGTTTGGGTTTTTTTGGGTTTTTTTTTGTTTTTTTACTTTATAACTTTTAGATTTTATAGACAAAAATCTAAAATACATGAAGAGTTTTTCCTTCTCTTGCCTGAAAGTAACCAATAGGGACTCTGAGTAAGGTGACAGACCTCCAGAATGACCAGTTCTTCCTCTGTAATATCATATTCTTGGAAACTGTTCTATAATGATTATTCCAACATAGGCAGGTTGACTCTCAAGATAGGCAGCCTTGCTTAGCTTGCTTTCTTTCTTTCTTTCTTTCTTTCTTTCTTTCTTTCTTTCTTTCTTAAGATTTTATTAGAGAGAGAGAGAGAGCACGAGTGGGGGGAGAGGGAGAAGCAGACTCCCTACCGAGCAGAGCACAGAACCCGCTGCTAGGCTCAGTCCCAGGACCCTGAGATCATGACCTGAGCCAAAGGCAGACATTTAACTGACTAGCCACCCAGGCACCCCCCAGACTTCTTTTCCTAAAGCAGTTGTTTCTATTTCCTACAAAGATAAAGTATGGCAAAATGGTTTAAAATTCACACCTCAGGAATCAACTATCCTGACTTAACTGTCTTGGCTTTTTGAAGAGCTGTATGACCTTTTGTACAATTAGTTCATCTCTTGCCTCATCTTCAAATTCATCTGTAAAATGTGAGTAATAATCATTTCACGTGTTCATTGAAAAGATTAGATGTGATAACATATGTAAAGCACAAAACTAGTACCTATATTAAATGCTCAATAAATATTAACTGTTCTTCTGCTGTTACTATTCTTAGGCATAAGGAAGCTCAAAGTCTCTAGACCTGGAGATGAGTGGGGGGGCAGGTGTCCACAAAAAGGCATTTCTTGTTTAACTTTACAAAGCTCTTAAACAAAACAAACTTCCTTTCTCAGTCCTACAGTGGTGTCATTCTTATGCCATCTTTTTTGCATTTAGACTTCTAAATGCAAATTTCAAATTAAGACCAAGCACCCATTTTAATCTTATTACATTTAAAAAACTTATTGTCACATTATAACCAATGTTCGTCATTCAATCACTTTTTTAAGTCATTTGAGTCCCAGTCTTTTTTTCTTTATCCCTCTCCCCTCTTTTGGATTATAGATAATGATAGCTGAATTAATTATATCCTTTAGCTCCAGAACACATTGTCATCATCAGTACATACAAGGTTTCTCTCTGGCTTTATTTTTGCCCTTCATCCCTAAACTTCATCCTGTATCCCCATGGCTCACACCTCAGTGGGACTGTCCAAGAGCCCAACTCTCAGAAAATCTCCGAATCAGCAGCTACTCACCTTTCAATATCCAACCTGAGCAGTTTATATAGCGCTGTCATGTTTTTATAAAGACAAAAGTAAGCCATCCTCAAATAAGAAACCCGTGAGTAGATATTAACCTTAAAAAGGGTTTTCTTTCTCATATATTTTATTCTCCAGCAAGATGCTCGTCTCATCCCTATGCACTTGGACTTAATCTGTGGATTCAAACTGGACTAAGGAACATGTTACCTTGGTATTCTCTCAGAAATTGTGCCCCCTTCGAGTTCTGTCTCTCTCTTCTTTCTTCCTTCACTGGATAAATAAAATATGTGACCAAGCAGAAAAAAAAAAAAAAAAAAGTACCCATTCTAATGCATCTTTTGTAAGTAGGTATACTGTTTTGTGTGTATGGGTTTCTTTTTTGTGTGTGTTTGTGTGTGTGTGTGTATGGGTTTCTAATTTATAAGAATATATTGTTGTATTATTGACATTACATTTTAAAACTATTACCTTGTATATGATTTTTCAGATATTCTAACTCTTAACCATATTTTTTCTATTCCTTAATGGATAGATACCTAAATTGCCATCAGTTCCACCCTGCCACAAAACATGCTGCAATTAACATTCTTACATTACCCACCCCCCCCTTTTTTTTTAAAGATTTTATTTATTTATTTTAGAGAGAAACCACAAGCAAGGGGATGGGGAAGCAGACTTTCTGCTAAGCAGGGAGCCCCATGCAGGGCTCGATCCCAGGACCCTGGTATCATGACCTGAGCCAAAGGCAAACCCTTATCCGACTGAACCACCTAGGCACCTCTTATATATTACCCTTATAGAAAGGATGGTCACATTGTTCCAAAATGAGATGCTTTTTAAATTGAAGGGAACTCTGCCAAACTATCCATTTTGGGGCATTAGCAGGCACCAATGTTTATTGACAACTACTCTTATAGTGTATACTTTGTAGGTCATAAAGGATTTTTTTTCAGATTTCACGTTACTGGACATTAGCAATTATCTTTTGAGGTAGAGAGGGCAGAACTTGTAATCCTTATGTTACAGAAAAAGAGACCGAGGATCAGAGGTACACTGACTTATTTTAGTCCACATATCTGGTCATTTATGGAATTGAATTTGTGACTAGGTCTTGAGACTTTAATTTGTTTTTCCAAAATCTGAAAGGGACAGGGAAAAGGATAAATTTCTGTGATTAAGACAGGGACTGTCCCAGTTAGCTTTATGTCTTCCTTAGAACAAAAGACAGTACTTGACACATAGTAAGTGATCAGGTTTGAATCAGTAGTGCTGCTACTCAGCGCTTTGGTGACTTTGGTTATTTCAGTAATGCTTCAAATTATAGGTAAGTTCAGTTCTATAAGTGTTCTGGCTGAACAGACTTCAAGTCATTCTCAGAATTTTCGTGTTAAATGGTGTAGTTCATTTACAACTGATTTAGCAATCCTTATATCCATGCCTATTTGATTTGATTTTTAGGTGAGAGTAGACTATACTTGTATGTTTATAGAAAATTTCAGTAAGATTTCTTCCACTCTCCCTTTTTAGACACTGTTCTGTAGCTTTCATTAACCAGTAGCAAATCCCCTCCTCTTTCTAACTACTGTATTGCATTTAGCTACTTACCTTGTGCCTCCTATTCCCCAAGTCCCCAAAGTCATCTGTAACATTTGGTGAAGATGTTAGATTTGAAGGATTTTCTCCAAATAGTTTGTGCTAGTATTGTGAGCATGGTTGTTGTCAGCCACCTTGCTGAAACTTGCCACAGTTTAGAAGTGATTTCAAAGCCTTCAGTAATCAAGCTTCACCCACCTTTCTGTCTTATCTCATAACTACCCACCATCCCCTTTCCAGTACTTCCCACCCACTATGATACAAATTAAGAGTGTTCTAAGAGAAACCATTTAGTAACTTAAATTTTCATGTCCCACCCTTCAAGGAAGCTTACAGAAGGAACTCTTGCTATCTTGTATCTTAAACCGTTTTCATTCTCTGGCTTAGATAGTCTTTATAAAGGTATGCTACCTAAATGAGTTGTTTCCTACTGCTTCTCTCCCTTTGGCCATGTGCTTCCTTACATTGCAGATTGATTTACTAGTACTTATGTTAATACTGTGAACTTCACACATAAGCTTTCATCCCATCTATGGGGACAATTTTTTAGAAAGCCCACAAATGTCTCCTTAAGTATCTGTTTTCTATTGAAATCAATAAATAAGCTAGTGATTATGGCTGTTCCTTCTAATTGTGCCCCCAGATTTTTGTTTTTTATTTTCAAACTGTTTCTTTTCTCTTGGCATTATGGCTATGAATTCTACAGTGTCTGACAGAAAACCCTAGGGAGGTTCCTTTTTTTTTTCCTTTTCTTTTTAATGCATAGATAAATTCCCTTTATAACAATGGTTTTTGAATAGTGAAATTCTTTCCACAACTTGGTTGGTTGGTCCATAGAAATGACACTTTACTAGTCATCTTTTTTTTTTTTTTTTAGTTGTTATGGTAAGAACACTTAAATGAGATCTACTCTCTTAATAGATTTTTAAGTGTACAATAACACTGTTATCTATAGGCACCATGTTGTACACCAGATCTCCAGAACTTATTCATTGTGTATAACTGAAATTTTATACCCACTTAAATTAGTCACTTAGAGAAGCAAAGAATAGAAGGGTGGTTGCCAGGGGTTTAGGTGTGGGGGTGGAATGGAGAATTGCTGATCAGTGGGTAGCTGGTTTCCTACAGTGAATAAAACTAGACAGACTACCCAAATGCATGGTTGTTTGCACTGGTCATAGAAAAGGAAAAAGTAAATTTGGTGGTTTAGTCCTATCATGAAGCCTCAGTTGCCTTTCTAGTTCCCAGGATTCCTGCCAACACCTACACTCAAAATAGAAAAATAAATTAAACTCCTAAGACCATTTTTTTCCAAAACACCTCCATATGCAAACTGTCCTGAATGTTGGGAGAAGGGAACTATGAAGGGGAAACTTTGATTAGGAAACTCTCCTCCACTAAATTAAAGATAGTTCATTTGCTTCTTATGAACTCACCCTGTTACATTAATAGCAGGAAAGTCAAGAATTGGGTCCTTTAAATGCCACCAGCAGAATCAAAATTGAATATGAACAGAAGTACATCTTACAAGAATCACTGTTATTCTTTCACTGAGTTTAGAATATAGATCTTTCTTTTTATACTAAACAGACTATGTTGATCTCTGTGTTTGTATTTTTAATCTTGCATGGCCTAAGTGGGCAACTCTGGGTACTCTTGACCTCTGTTGATGATCCTCTTCACTAACCTTGCCTGTATCTATTGACCAGTTACATCACAGTTTGACTCACCAGCCTCCCCTCCTCACTAGGCCTCTCCTCTTTCTCTTTCTTCTCTAATCCCTTTCTACTTCATCACTATCTCCTTCACAACTCCTCCATGATTTTCTCAGGGCTGGGCTTCAACATCGTCGGTGGGACAGATCAGCAGTATGTCTCCAACGACAGTGGCATCTACGTCAGCCGCATCAAAGAGAATGGGGCTGCGGCCCTGGATGGGCGGCTCCAGGAGGGTGATAAGATCCTCTCGGTGAGAACTGGCTTCGGCCTCCTTCACTGTTTCTTGCTCCCTAGACCCCAGTTCTTACCCTTAGCCCTTTCCTTGGGAAGATTTCTGCCTGCCTTTTTGGATCTGGAAATATCTGGATTGTAGAATATGGTGGGAGGGACCTTGATCAGTCACCTTTTCCTGCCCGAACTTAGAGCAAAGAGGATAATTCCTTACTTGATAGACAAGGCATCTTCAGTCCAGAATGTGAAGCTACTTAAACAAGTTCAAAAAACAGGGAATAGGAACGGTTGAGGGGCTGATGTAGGGGAAAGAGACTTAAAACCCACAATTGTTGTCCTTTTTCAGTTATACTTTATCACCTCCCTTTCATTGAAAGATTAATGTGTGTCTTCCTTTACTCCAAAGAGACAAAAAAGGAAGGTAGAAATTAAGCTTCCTTTTTAGACTCAAATCCCTTCTCACCCGTCACAAAGATGAAAAATTTGAATGCATTCTCATTTGGGTATCTGTCCACTGTGCTCCCATTTCATTCAGCTAATGTTTGTAATAAGACACTTACTATATGGTGAGCTTTGATTTGATTCTTTTCTAAAAGTTCCTCAAGGGCAGGGACTAGATCTTTTTTTAACCTTTTACATCCTTGCAATGCTCAATATATACTTAACAAATGAACAAGTTAAGAAATTCAGGCAAGCCCAGAAAGGTTGGCTGATCCAGAATATAAATATAGTATCTTGGATAGTAATAGCCTATTTTTGTCCTTCTCACCAGCTATTTTGCCTCTTTTCAGACCATTAACCTTCTCCTAGATCCTGTTTATTAATTTGAAAGATACAAACAGTGATAAATACCTTTTATCTCAAAATGATACTGTGAGCTTTACAAGTAGATTATTTCATATTAGCTCCCTGGAGAAAGACCTCCTAAAAACATCAACTTGAGTGGGACATTCAGGAAAATTTAAGAGTGGGTTGTTAATGGTATAGCATGTAGGCAGAAATTATGCAGTTTATAGTGACATATACCACATTCTCTCCAGAATACTGGGGCCTGGGTTACATTTGAAAAGTATAGGGGTTCAGAGGACAGCCATATTATTCAAAAAGGTTTGGTAAAGGGTAGATTATATGAGAATGGTTAGAAGTTTTTGAGCACCATATGCTAAGCAATATGCTGAGAACTTTATGTTTGTTTAATATTGTGGCAACCCTATGAGGTGAGTACAATTATTATAACTACTTTGCTGCTAAGGAAGCTGAGTCTTGGTGAGGTCAAACAGCTTGCCCAAGGTCACACAACTGGTAGGTGACAGAGGACTAAAACTGTTCTGTCTGAATTTGGAGCCCCTACTCTTAATCAGTATGCTGTACTGCCTCCTAAGAGGTAAATGAGGAGCTAGGACTAGGTATCTAAACAGAAGGTTGCATGGTTAATAGATATTTTGTATGGTTTTATATAATAACAAATCAGTCTTTAAGGGTATAATTGGAGGGAAAAGGTCATTTAGCTCAGTATGAGAGAATTTATTAGACATAAGCTAAGATGAGCAGCCTTTCTTATGTGGACCATTGCCTCATAGAGAAAAGAAATTATTGGAAGGCACTCAAGTTTTTTGTTTTTTTTTTTTTAGAGGGTATGGTAGGAGATGGATGTCCATGGAGCGAAAAGTAAATGTCAAAAAAACTCTGCTCTCTTCACCTTGAAATTTACACCAAGCAGGATTTTACTTTATTAAAGTAAAACAAATATGAGAAATATTACAAAGACCTATACAATATATTAAATATTACAAATATATGTAGGACATATAACAAAGAATGATTCAAGTTTATGTTTTGGACAATTAAGATATGGGAAAGAAGAGAGGGAGGAAATGCCTGACAAAGAAAAGGCAAAAATATAAAACAGATAGGAAGAGAAAGAAGACTGAAGAGAAAAAGATGGAGCATATACAAGAGGAGAAGGCCAGCATATTCTTTCTTTCTAGGGCTATCTTATTTATGACTCCAGTCTCCCTATCAAGAGTTTGCTCCAACATAATTCTTTTTAGACCCTTTTCCTAAGAAATACTGCCTCTCTCACCTTCTCACTGTCTTTTCCACTCTCTCCTTAAGTGAACTCATTGGGCATTAACCATTATATGGTTATGTCTCCTTTGTAACTCACTCTCCCTCTGATTTAACTAAGTGCTCTAATACTGGCCTTGGAGTCTCTAAAATGATGGTGCTGAACTGTTTATTAGCTTATATTCTCCTTGATTCTTTATGGGTTTTTCTTTTCTCTTCACATAGGCTATTTTCCCATGTTGTAAAATATGCCCCAGCTCTTTCTTTTAACTTTTGCTAGATAATCAAACTAAATATGTCACTTCCTTGGCACATCCATTTTGGATAACTAATACAAATCTTATTTAGTGATCTAGATTTCCTATGAGTTAGTATTGACTAATAAATTAATCTTTCCATTTCTCTTGAAATAATGCCCATGTTTTGTCTTAATTTCAAGTAAAACTAAATAATTGCATGACTTCTGCAATTCCCTCTTGCTCATTAAAAGTTAAATTACATTTTTTTGTGACCTCTGTGGAATGTTTAAACTTTAAAAAATGGGAGGGGGAGGAAGAAAAATTTCTTTAACATAAATTATTTTTAAGGCCCTATTGCATCTGACAACCATAAAACAAAAACAGGTATTACTAATAGAAGGACCTGAAGTTGAGATGAGGGCTGGAGATGGAGATTCCTCACCCAGAGTTTATTTTGTGTGTGATGGTTAGGGCAATTTAATATTTGTATAGGTTACAAGGGAAAGATTTTATTTTTGAGGGAAAAAAATGTAAACTGTTTAGGTTTGTCATTTCTGTTGTGTGCCTGCCTAAATGACGGGAGGTGGATAGTTAAGAACAGTCCATGCTCAGTGAATGCTGCATTTTTATGAAGTTTAGGGTGATGTGAGCTAATTATTACACTGAATAGATGAATATTCCCTTTTGTCCAAACCCTTTATATAACAAAATGGCACAGATCAGGCACTAGTCAGCCACATTGCATGTTTTCATCAAGTGTAATTCTTAAAAAAAAATCTTAACTTGGTGAATGAAAGAGCTGAGTAGTCCTCAGCATTTATAGCTGTTCTACTTGACCGCCTGCAGAGCACCATACCAGGTGCTCTGGAATGATTTGAAAAATGAAACACTCACCTTCACACATAGCTTAGAAATCAGTGGGAAAGACCCACCAGAACCCCTCATCTGCTTGGCTGCAAAGACATTGGAATATGCGGAATCCTTTAGACAAAGGATGCCTAGAGGCACTTTGTCCTCCTAGCTCGGTATCCCCAGCTTAGGATCTCCCCCGCCTATAGGCTTGTAGCTGGCACAGAGTATGTATGTAGTAGGTTAGTTGCTCTGTGAATGCATCATAGCATAACGGACTTTTTTGGTTTGGTCTGACTAATTAGAACTAGATAATCTATTTTTTTTTCCTCTTCAACTCTGATGAAAAAAGAGCCCCCTTCCCTCATTGTGATTCATTTCAGGATCTTGGCAAAAAATTAAAATATCCAGAGTGGTCAATGCTTATTAAATTAAGTCCATTCCTTTTCTACATCTTATGCATTTATATCGATATCGATGTTATTCTATAGTTAGAGCTCTTGAGGCAATTCAAAATTATTAATCATCAAAGAAAATGAGTTTGGGATAACCTGGATGGCTCAGTTGGTTAGGCATCTGACTCTTGATTTTGGCTCAGGTCATGATCTCAGAGTTGTGAGACTGAGCCCTGTATTGGGCTCCACACTGGCTGTGGAGATTGCTTGAGATTCTTCCTTGTCCTCTGTCTCCCTCTGCCTCTCTAAAATAAATAAATAAACAAACAAACAAATATATAAATAAATAAATGTCACACAGGTGAGAAATTAAACTTTTTTTAATTAAACTTTTTTTAATTTTAATTTAATTTTTTTGAAATATTTTATTTATTCATGAGAGACAGAGAGAGAGAGGCAGAGACACAGGCAGAGGGAAAAGCAGGCTCCCTGTGGGGGAGCCCAATGTGGGACTCAATCCCAGGACCCCGGGATCTCAACCTGAGCCAAAGGCAGACGCTCAACCACCGAGCCACCCAGGTGCCCCTTAATTTTATTTTTTAAAGATTTTATTTATTTACTTGAGGGAGAGAAAGGAAAGAGCACAGAGGGAGAGGGAGAAACAGACCAATGTGGGACTCAGTCCCAGGACCCTGGGACCATGACCTCAACCAAAGGCAGACACTTAACCGACTGAGCCACTCAGGTGCCCCAAAAGTTAAACTTTAAAAAAAGAAGAAGAAAACTAATTTTAACTCCATTTATCCATTTCCAAAGGCAGAAAATCGGAGACTCATTTTAAAGATTGCTAACAACCATAGCAAAGAAAAAAAAAACCAGTACTTTTCCCCATCTGGTTAGCAGAACACCACCATTCCTATTCTCTGAATATTCAGTCAGCAAAATTTTCTAGCATGTTGCAAATCTGCCGTATCTCAGGTTCAGTGAAACTGTGCCATGAATTAAGGAAGCTGAAGTAGCAAATTTGGCAGCGTTTTAAGATTTCTCCTTTGAGTACCTCTTGGTACTAAAAGTGAGGTCCAAGGACCATCTGGGGGCTTATTAGTAATGCAGTCTCAGGAACCCTCCCAGACCTATTAGAATCAAAATCTGCTTTATAGCAAGATCCTGAGTGTGAATAAAGTCTGAATAAATTGTAAGAGGCACTGCTATAGTCAAGTGTTTTAAATTATGACCTATAATAGGTAATACACAGTGTACACATACATACATACATATAATTGAAGCAAAGTTTAAGAAAATAATATTTAGCTCTTCTATATGTAACGCATTCTGTGTTGTGTTTTCTTCTAATGTCAGTTTTAAAATTAAATACTGGCCTTGACCCACTGGATTAACTTCATTCACTATCTTCTGTGGTGGGTCCATAGACTCATTTGAAAAATCACTACTTTGGTAAATGGAAAAAT